CGCCTTCTTCCCTGCTCCTTCTTTTTCTTTATTAGGGAACACCAAGGAAAAGTTCAGAGGAAAGTATCAGTGTGTTTCAGCACCAGAGCTGGCGGTGGCAATAAGATTGAGAAGTACAGAAAAGGTCGAGGTCTGTGGCTATACAGAAATTATTGCAGGAATTATTGGAGCACATAAATTTCGTTTTCTGTATCCAAAAGTTTTCCAAGATAATGTGATCCAAAATAGAAAGACATAAGAAAAAATAAATAAGCATGAACAATGACACTCTACAGGGCAAACCCTACAGGAACAGATTTCAGAACCTACAGGTGAATTCCCTAAGCAGCCTCACCTGTTCTTCGTGAGTCCCGTGCTGCACCACAGCCAGGGGCTGATTGGAAATCTGCACCATCTGGGGCATCAAACAGGTTCATGAGAGTCAATAGATTGTTTACACTGGTCCTCGCTTCTTCCCAATCCCATTAAGAGATTCAGCTTCTCCACATATAACATGCATTGTGTGCACATCTTTCACCCCAACCTCACCACTGCCAGATTCTCCAAGGCAGCCAGTCAACATCTTCCTGTCCCTTKTTGGCAGTGTCCACCCAGCACCTTGCTGGTGCTGTTTATTCCAGCATGAGTAYTTAGAAGTTGAACCAACCTCCACAGTAATGTTCTACACCTGTGCATAACCAAGGCGCATGTGTTTTGTCCAATATATGTTTTTCTCCCCCCAAACCYCAGAGTACTTTTAATTCCTAGGGAAGCACATAGAATAAAGCATAATTAAGCAATGACTTATTAAAAGAAAAAGTRAAGTTCTCGTGCAGAACTGTAACAGGAAGGCCTGGATCCTGCTCTGAGCTGTGTGCAGAGAGATCTACAAACCAGCATGGAGCTGTACTGGAATCATCAGTGCCTTTTCCATTGAGAGCTGGGACTTCTGCTGGAAAGGATCCAGTTGAACTGCCAGGGAAACCATTAGCAAGTGTTGCTCATGAAAACATTGAATTTCAGAGCATGTGACAAGTATTTTTTTCAGAACCAAACTAAAACACCTTGGGGTGGAACTGTCAAAGAGCAGTTTAGAGCCAGCCCAAAAGCTCTCTTCAATGATGGGGAGCAGCACCAGAAGTTCCTCTCTTTTCAATGCTATTTTTGATGTTTGTCTTTGGCAAAAAATCGCATGGCCCATTGCTATAAGAGGATGCCAATGACAAGTGCAAACATCTGTAACTGCAAATTAATTTTGCACTGGGAGAGCAGAACACTGTGCATCCTCTCRCAGCTTTATTCTCTCAGCCTCTGGTCCACATGAGAACAGCTCTGTGTCCTGTGCCCCAGCTGATGGCTCCACTGGACCAAAGCCTAACAACTAATCAGGATTTCCTACCTCGTCTCCAGCAAATATCCACGCCACTGAGCCGCTTTCTCCTCCAGCAGAAACCTTCTTGTAGCTCCTGCTTGTCAATAACCCTTTTATCCACACCACCAAATTCACACTCTGCTCTGGGATTACCTATTTTTCCTCTGACTGCTGCAATTTGCGTGACTCACTTGCAGCAYGAAGAGCTAAATTGACTTCCTATGCCTCTTTGTGAACATGAGCAATCACRAGAGAGTCTGAGAAGGAAAGCCCTGCTTACACAATTGTGGTGTAGCTGTCGATGCCTGTGGGTACAGCAACTGCAGCAACTTTGCAGAGCATCACGGTGTGGCCATAGACATTCCACTGGGCCAGGACGGAAAGGATGAGCACAAAACCAGATTTTTAGCAGGTTTTGCCAGTATCTGGGATTGTCATGCTCACAAAAATCTCAATTCCCAGGTCTGGGTTCTCATCTCTTCAGCGTTGTCAGGTTAAATRGAGCACTCACATCCCTCCGTGGTGCCTCCCCAGATTATCTGGGAGAGCTGATGAGGTGCAGCAGGTGGGGAGCTCTTTCTCCTGGGTGGAAACTTCTCACCATGCTGCATGCTGTGAATAGCAGGGTGGAAGGTGGGAATGAAGGAGGAAATGCAGAGAAAGAAGGGATTTCAGCCTTTTGGAGTCGAGCCAAGGGAAGGAGGTTTATTCCATTACTCACATGCCTGTTAAATCCCATTTTGAACACTCCAGTGTGCACAGACTGTGGGCATTGCAGTAAGTTTTATTCGGAGCAGGAGGGATTGAAAATTCTTTTTCAAATAGAAAAGAAATGGATAAAGGAAAAGGGGTATTGGGGATGAAAAGCAACCTTACTTGTTCAATGTGCAAAGTTAGCCAGTGAGAGGTCAGTCTAATTTATGTGCTCCATATTCCATAAATTCATGCAAAATTCACCCCCAGGTTAACCCTCAACATTCGTCTTTGAGGAAAAACATACAAAACATACAAAAAATCATTTATACTTGTAGACATGTGTCTGCATGGATTTGCATCCTCTCCAATTGTAATTTTTATTTTTAAATGTGACATAAGAGGCCAGCTTCCCCTTCCAGATCCAAAGTTCATAGATATACCAAAAAAAAATTCCCTTTTGGCCAGAATTGGGAGTTCCAGTAGAGCACTGGGAGACTGAGGGATGTTGAGGAACCCTCCTCAGCTAAGCACAGGTTTTACCAAAAAGATTTTTAAAAAGAGGGCTAACCATAAGGGGCCCTTTTAAAAGAAGGCTAAGCATTTCTTTAGACAGGGGAAGTGAGACAACCCAACAGTCATKAACTTATTTTGCAGTGGTTATCTTTCCTCAGCTCTACCACAGCAAAGATAAGGGCCAGAACTTGTAATTTCCTCCTTGCTAGAGATACATAAAATAGTAATTTTATAGCAAGGTATAGAACTCATGCAAATACAGTGTAAGATGAATTCAATAATGAAAACTTAAAGAAGTCATTCCCAGGGACATTTGAAGCCCACAAAAAGGCAACACAAAAAAAAAAAAAAAAAAAAAAAAAAAAAACCACCAAAAAAAAACCCAAAAAAAAAACCAAGATATCAAATAAATCACTTCAACCTTTTTCAGGCACAAACTGGAGGGAGACAAAAACCCCAAGCATTGTTATTTATTGGAAAGGAAATATTGTTTTCCTTCCAATTTCTATCTCCTCTGGATCACCTTGCTTTGTTTAATCTCAGTGTGCATTACAGAGAGGAGGAAACCACTACTGGCTTTGCAGACCAGGAATCTGAAGCATGGAGTTAAACAGGGCAAGCCAAATTCACCAGCACGACACAAGCCATGTTTCTAAAAAAATCTTAAAGCAAACAAACCAGGAAAGGGAGCATCAGGAATGAATCTTCCATGAAATACYTCCAAGGGGGAGTGAAGTCTGTGCTGTTGGGAAATAGGTACAAAATAGCTWACAGCAAAGGGAGAACACTTTCTACCCAAACAGGCCAAGAGAGGCATCMCAAGCTGCATTTGGACAACCTTCCTCCTGCCCTGCAACAGGGATCAGCCTGAGAAAAGAGCATCAAAATTCAGCCTTGAATTCAATGAGCAAGATGCTTTTCCAAGAACAGCATGTCCTGGAGGCTGATAGATAGGGAGGCTGACAGCTCATTTCCCCATTGTGTGTGGGGTTTGTTTTTTTTGATCACAGAATCCCTGCAGAATCACCTGCTGTGTGATGCTTTAAGGGTCACATGGAGATCYGAGGGGGGATTCTTAACCATGGCTGATCACTTGGTGTGTGTTTTGTTTGCTTGGAGGAACTGAGCTAAAACTTTCCCAATCAGTCACAGCCTAACGATTTTCCTCTAAAGATGCTATATATGGCTTGATGCTGCAAACAAGTGCCCTGGATCAATAGTCCTGGCAAGTGAAATTGCCTGTTTGGAAAGCAGGAAGCACGCAGCGTAGATCCTTGGAGAAGAGCTGCTTTTTTTTTTTTTTTTTTTTTTTTTTTTTTTTTTTTTCACTGCCAGTTTCTTTTTCTACTTTAACCTCTTTAGCCCGAAATCGAGGTGTTTCTGAAAATCTACATCATCCACAAATTTAATGCAGGCCTTGGTGTTCCAATTTTCACGGCATGCTGCCTTCCCAAAATTCTAAAGCAGCCTTCTTTAAGAGGCCTTGGAAAGGAGGCACCAAAGCCTTGTGTCTCGCTCCCAATTTCAGTGAAGCTGCAGCTTTTACTTCCATGGCTGGTATTTCCTGTGAGAGATAAATTCTTRGTTGCTGTTGTAAGGATGCATGGTACTCAAATATGGGTAGAAGGAAATCACTGTACCATTTGTGATGCCAGCTCTGCACRGGGTGATGTTCACACCTGCACTAGGCCATCCATTGTCCAGCTCCCTGSATGACCAGCAAAGCTCCAGGGTCTGGAAGCAATCAGATATTTTGGTTTTTATGTCTGCTTAAAGTGGCAGAGGCCAGCTCTGTCCCCTGGCTGGGTGCTGGGTTTGGGGCTGTTGAGTGCTCACAGATGCAGAGCAGTTTCTGAATTGCTGGAGAAAGTTCCTGAATTATCTCAGGGGGAATCAGGCTAAGGAAAGGAGCCGAGGCCTGCAGAGGACCCAGACCCCAAAAGCCAAAGCAGAAAGTGCTCTTTAAAGAGCTCACTCCAGTTTAAACAAACCCAGTGCAAAGCCAGAGCAGGGAAAGTGAAATTGCACTCTCCAGAGGGCTCTTTGTCCCACATGGATCAGCCCCAGCAAACCTTGGCAAACTGGTGTCACTGGGATAATGCCCCCTCGAGCAGCCTCCTGGATCCCACTTTTATACAGAATTTATTGTGAACGGGGCTCTATCACAGAGTTGCACTCAAGTGTCATTACCATTACTAAAGGCCATCGGCGTTCACCTGATTTCCCCCGTTACTGAGAGACAAAATTCTCTGCTGATCTCAAAAAGGGAAGGGGCAGTCAGCTTCAGCAAAAACCCACATCACTGATGTTAACCTTTCTGTTCCATCTCTATGCTAAATCACCAGGGTCCTGCTGTTGAAGATGAACATATTGCCCATGCTGGGAAAGCTGAGGGCCCAGATTTTTGTCACCATCAGAAAATCAAACAAGCTGCACTTGCTTTTTTTTCTACAGAAAATATTTATTTGCAAGAAATGAAAAGCATAACATATTCACTACATACATGTTTAGGCTACAAAAGCAGGTAGTCTGTTCTCTCACAGAATCGGGCAGATGACGATTTAAAAAGGAAAAACAGCAATTTCTTTCCACCCAATGGACATGTTTGCAGTGTGAACAATCAGGTGGGATCGTATCCAGATGACAGCACTTGTACAAAAACAGACAGGCACTGAACACAGACACAGAGTCAAACAGACATGGCAAGAGAAGAGATATCTGCAGCCAGAAGAGGCCCCAGGGAAGTTTACCAAGGAGTTGGGGGACTGCTTTTGCACYAGCATCACTGTCCCTGTCATCTTAGATAGTTTTAATGTTTGCACAAACCTCCACTGCACTCACATGAACAGAGGGAGAGGGAAAGATCAGCTCAAGTGCCTTAGGGGTGTCACAGCAGAGTGATTTCATCATGAGTGGCCCTGGATATGGAATTCTCTTCAAGAGAGGAACACCAGGTAATTCACCCTCGGAAGGCCAGGTGAATCTCAGGRGAATTGGGATGTACTTGCACCACCCTCTGAGAGGAAGGGGGATCTTTAGGTCCTCTCCCAGAAGACCAGCCCAACAAACTCTGTTCCTTGAGCTGTCACCTCCCAGGAGCCACCTTTTAAGGCTAATTTACACCACTTAGGAAAAAAAAAAAAAAAAAAAAAAAGAAAAAAAAAAAAAAAAAAAAAAAAAAGAAAAAACACATTCAAAGCCATAATGCTACAGACCAAAAATGATACCAGAATATAAAATAGTTCTTTTTTTGTACCAAGCCAGAACTGTTCTACAGAAAGGCCAGACAGTCTATGCACACACAAAATGACACAGCACAACACTCAGTCGACAATTATCACAGGACAGCAATTCACACAACAGTTCTATGAGTGCTCAGTGATGTGGAATGTGAACAGGTTTCAGAGAGAAATGCCTGGACTTTCTGCTGCACCAAGCCCAAAGTGCCCTGTGTGTTCAGGTAGATGCCTTTATTTAGCAACATGTGTTACATTAAGAAAACTCTGTRGGTTTTGATACCTTTTGATTATTCACCATGCACATGTGCACAGATACACACACACACACTCATTCTTGCTAACTGTACCAATGAAGAAAGCAAGATGTCATAATATCAGCACCACTGAACTAAAATCTGTTATGGTAAAGTCAGATATGACCAGAGTTCTGTTTAAAAAATCCATTACCTGMCTCTGTTTCCCTCTCTCTCTCTTCCACTCCCTTCATTATGGACTGCTAAGGTTCAAATACATTTTTACYTGCTATTTGGAGGGGAAAGTGGGATATAATATAAAAGTCAGATATGCACAAACAATGTTAAAGAGCAAGGGGAATAGGAGTCAAGCTAAACCTGGCAGGTAACTAATGAAAGAGGCTCTCATGGCTGATTTATGGAATCGAGAACTAGAGGTTTCCCTGTGATGTGAGAAGTCCCTTCACCTGCCTTTTCTTTCACCCTAAGGGAGGTCTAMGAATCAGCTTTCCCACATTCTGTTCTCAACCTATTTAGCTGCAGCTCTTGGAGGAAGAATCTGGAGATYGGTTGCAGGGCAGACAAGAGACTAMTGCTAATTAAGAATATCCAAACTCCATTCAGCATCAGATACAAACAGCATCACAAATGAGTTTCCTGCAAAATGCACTTTTTCTACACAGGAATTTGATTCATATGTATATTTATATGTACACCTTGGTAAAGCAAAAAAGGGCCTGACATGAAAATGAGAAACCCAAATTGCAATCTCCCTCTCAATCCTGGAGTCCCCAGTGGATGCTGATCACCCAAGCAATGCATTACTAATCAGGATCAACCAATGCTCTGAAAGCCCAATGTCACTTTAATAGCCATGAGAAAGCTACAACATGGATTGAATCCTTACATCTTCTTTGTAAAGACCTTACTTAACGTGTACATCAGTTCATTCCCCTCTGCAACYCCCAAAATTGTTAAACTTTAACATYAGATAGTGCAAAGCAGCAACACATCATAGCACTACACTGTTATATAAGCTGGGACAACTTCTGTAGCTACAAAGTACTGACCTATCATTTCACCTTCAAAATTACAAAATGTTCCCTTTTTAATTAGTGACTCGAGARGGAAATATTTTAGTCACCAAGGGTATAAAAATACTCCGTATTCCTCTGTTCTTAGCTGCGTGGGTTTTGAACAATGGCCTCTTGGCATTAGCTAGAATCTAGAGCCCAAATACTCAGTGGAAATCCCTCCCAACGTAGCAATTAGCATCATTCACTTCCTTGACCTACATTCTAAAAGCGTCTAGACAGAATTCACCACTGATAGTTTGGGGGGCGGATGGGAGTGGAGAGATGGGTTGGTTTCTTTAACAGGGAAAAAAAAGAGGTTTTAGATTAATTTTTGGTCTATGTTAGAAAAATCAAGAACACATTGAGATATACTGTTACACAGAGAGATGTGGAGGAAGGGGTCTCCTGTCAGTATTAATCAGACCTGCAGCCTTCATGAGYGGTGTGTGAGAACCATGCTGGCTSTATCAGCTGGGATCTGGCCTAAGAWCCTCAGCCTAATCCATTAGTCTGTGCTGCTGAAAAATATTGAATGGTGCAGATCAAATGAAAGAAATGCAGCAAAGAACTATAAATAGCCTGGGGGGAAAAAAAAAACAACATTATCTACACACTGGTAACAAGGTTAGAAACATCACATGCCCTGTGCTTTATACTTTTAAAATATACATATATATATAAAATAATGCCCTACATTCCTTCATAGCTTATGTCCCTAGAAGCAAAGACCTGATAGATCTAGGCATGCTTTAAAGCTGCAGGCCAAAAGGTAAGTTTACTAGTGTGTGTAAAATTGTGCTGACAAGCAGCATAACCTTACAGCTGAGGACTCCTGAGTTTATCACTTAAGTCCTCTACTGGAAATGGAAATTATGCAGCACATAAGGCCTGTACACACACACACATGATTCTACAGCACCAAATCACTGATCACCAGAAAAAGCACACTGGCAGAAGGCTAGGACCTCAGGTAATAGAGCTAATTAAAAGCACTTTYATTGGGCACAAACAGGCACAAACTGCCTCTGGAGACTGTGAGCTCCTTGTCACAAACAGCCTGTGAGCAGCTGATGACAGGGAAATCCTTGGCCCCAAGCAGAGAAACCTGTTCTGTTAAGGCCCCTGAAGAAAAATGATCACAAACAAACCAAAGTGAAGCAAAGCTTTTCCTTATTATAAAGAAGTAAYATGTCATACAATAAATCCCCAAGCCATGTGTGTGCTAGGTCAAGAGATTGCCTACAGGAGTACCTAAAAATAACTTAAAGGATTACACAAATTAAGATTATAGAAATAGATGATCAAACACAAGAAATCAGTATGGCCATACTGGCTTGGATGATTTAGTACAGAGGCCTGACCCAGACCATGGCCAGTTTAAAATGCTCAGGATGAAAACACGTTTCTCTTCCAACCAGATTTGAACCAATATGCCCAAGTTAAACAAAAAAAAGGCAAAGTTTTAACAATGGCCAGTGCAGTGGGTTTCAGAGAGGAGGAGCCATTTTGGTTGTGCAAACTCATCTATYCTTTAAGAAGTGAGAAATAACTCCACTTTGGTTTTCACACAGTGAAGTAAGTCAGCTGTATCTGCAATGGGAGGTGATCCATTTAACTGGCAGTGGGCAGGAGCGAACTGCCAGACTGGGAAYTGGTGCTATGCTTCACACCCTGGGGCCTCTGCTGCAAAACATTCAACACCTGCCTGCCCTCAGAGGCAGCAAACCAAGGGTGCTCTTGGAAAATAAAGAACATTTCAGGAATTTTCTGAACTATGACCTTGTCCCCTTATGCTGACCAGTCGGGGTCAATGCCAGCTTTCTCCTGTCACTTTGCTGACCTCARGTGGCTGAGCAATGCAGCCATTCCTTGTGGCACTCACCAGTGATCACTGTTTATGTGAAACTTTAAAGCATTTTAAAAAACTCCAAACACAAAAGTTGTTAATGGATACTGGAATGATTCAGAGACCTCAGCAGGATCACAGTGAAGGGAAACTTTGTGGTGGGGGTTGACCCATGCCAAGAAGGGAACTTTTGCCAAGTAAGACTACAACAGCATTTCTCCTCTCATTGTCACCTCAGGTAAAAGAATAAGGCACTTGCATGGAAGAATAGGGCATTACCTAGAAAAGCACATCTGTACACCAAAACTCAGCACTAGCTCATGGAGTCAGGCACTTGTTTCACAATCACTACAGTGAAACACTTTCTTAAAATGGCACAGAGGGGACTGACCCACAGTCCCCTCCAATTCACCAAATCCTTTCCATTCATTTCACTGAATTTCGAGTCAGGCCTGAGGGTGGCAAATAGGATGCCGAAGGAAGAAAGTCTAAGGAGAATGAAGAGCAAGAAAGAAGCTGGTGGTGACAGCTACTGTAATAAAATACAAATTCAATATTTTACAAAATAGAATACTTGCAGGAAATATCTACTGTACATAGTAAAAAATTAGTTTTTCCCTTATTTATTATTAGGAAAAAAAATAAAAGAAAAAAAAGCTTCAAATTACTTTTTTTTTTTTTAAATTGACTTCTTCTGGTAAACTACTTTCTGGTAAAGTAGCTATGCTATCCTGCTGAATTAGGATTTTCACATTAATTCCATCCTCAATAGAGCATGAGCACCCTTCTGTAAGAACCAGATAAAACCCTGCTCAAATTCTGGACTGAGTTCAACTRTGCCCCTGCAAGGACAAACTGTGAGTAGCACAGCTCAAGCAAAGGCATGACCAGGGCACTGAGAGCGAGAGGGGACACTTGAAAACATCAACAACACGGGACAAGCAGGGAACAAAGCATGGAGAAGAGAACTGGACTGGGATCAGACCCCATGGGCTCACCTCATTCCTCTYTGGACAGCTCTAATGCCTACACAATCAACTCCTCGGATCAGAGGCTGCCTTGCCATGCAGTTCCAAATCCATCAGCTCTAGGATGAACTGAGCCTATCTGTACCCAAAGCACTTGGACTCAGATCACATCTTTGCAAAAGCAGGCAAGAGGAAAACAAGACACGTGGCTTTATTTTAGAACAATTCAAGTTTTAGGGGAGGAAATGAGTGTTCARTGATGTTTGTGTGTCCTATTTCAGAGTCTGCCCAAATTATTTGCAGGGTAAGGAAAGCTCAGTTCTCTTCATTGCAACTGCCTGAACAGAATTTTTCAAAGCTAATAAATACTATTTACAACAGTAACAGGAAGATGGCAAGGAAAGGAAAACATGAGACAATCTGGGACTGGGTCTGCACAAAAAWTTTCATCCACTGCCTAGAAGCCAATAAATGAAATCCATATGGTCCTCTCAGGAGGCACTTCTGGTTTAAGCCTTACATTGATTTAGTTTGTTGGGAAGGAACTGATTTAAGCTAAACAGATTAGCATTAARCAGACTAAAGGGCATCCATCTGAAATATTGCATAAATGTAACAAAACCTGCTTTCTACATAGATTCAGTTAAACTAGTGTAATTCTCCCACACAGAGTGCGGTCAGACAGTGACTGATCTTTGCTTAATTTCTCAAGGGTGGAGCAGGGAAGCCTACCAGGGCTGCTTTCAATGAAGGAGAAACCCACCCTGCTAAGTGATGAAGAGGGGAGGGGAGAAGAGAAAGAGCTGGGGGAGGACAATTCAGCAGCATCATGGACCAGCCCCCTCCTGCCTGTGCTGTGAACCCAGCAGTGTCAGGGCCCTTCCTTGTCCCTTCAAAAGCAGGCTGCACTCACGCTTCTTCATCCCCCCAAAAGTGCTGCACACCAACAGGCACGGAGCTGGTGAGGCTCTAAGCACCATCATGCTGCATCTCCTCTCTCTCTCTGTCACCTTCTCCCAAAAAAACCTGTCACCCACACGCTCCCATGGGTTTTGCACAATTCCCCCTTCTCCAGAATGTCTTTGTGCTCCGATCAGGATGTGTGGAGGTACAAGCACACACACCCACCAGGCACTCCCATGGTAATTCRATCCTGCCCTTGCAGTACTAGACAGGAAAGGGATAAAAGCAGAGACAGGGACTGTGTGCGACGTGAGGAAGGGAGTTACAGAGACAAGAGATCCCATCTGTAATCACAGCCTCACCAGTCAATGCAGAAGTTGAACTCCCTCTCTTTTGTACTTTGGTTCACTGAGGATGACAAGTCAGGGGAACTTTGGTTGAAAATATGTGGGAAAGAGGGAAGTCAAGARAAAAGGCCTTTTTTATTTTTAAGAGGTGGCATTGACTCTTCTATCTATTTCAATTATCTTCAGTATTTCATTTCCTTCTAGTTCGGAGTTGACTCTGTAGGGAAMAAAAAAMCCAAAGGTTAATGATAATAGTAATTTTTAAAAGTGCATATYCTGCTTGAATTGGCAAATGCTAAAGAGCCATTCAGTATTTASCAGGTATTTGTCACTCAGTTCAGTCTGGTAACATACTGAAAAGAAAAGGTGCAGCAGAAAGGTGCAGAAAGAGTTGCAGCAGAAAGAAGCACACATATTTAAACCAGTAAATTACTCTCGTTTCAAAGGCTCCCAAAACTTAAATTTATGCTAAAAAGACCCAAAAAAATCCCTTACATTTATGCTAGAAGTGARGGAACTCAGTGTAGGCACTTAAGTAGTCAGAACTTTTACATGTCTGTCTCTTGAGACCAAGTCCTGCAAACTTTCCACAGCAATGCTTTAGTAAGAGAGAAACCCAGCTCTTCACACCCTAACCTCGTAGAAAGCCCTGTGAGTCACAACCTCACATTTCCACACAACTGGCAAAAGCTTATTCCTTTGGGAGGTACTCAAGAAAGTGCTTTAAAGAAGTGGGAAGGCCCAGCTAACAGGCTTACAGAAGTTTGTTTCTGGCAGAGTTTGGTTGCTGTATTACTACAAAATTGCTGCAACAATTTCTCCACAGCAAAATGACTTTTCCTATAGGCTCTCCAGATAAAAAAACCCTCTTACTTCATGTTTCATGGTGCCCAGCATAGCTGAGCTGCCAGTCTAACCTCTGGCCTTCAGGCATACAGGACAGTGACACACAACACGATGTGACAAGCAGCCTGCTCTTACCTGTGCTGCTGCAAGCCCAGCAGCACTGATTTCTCCAGCCTTGTCTCGTTGGCTATTGTGAACTGCATGATGTCATCCTGCTGTGTCCCTGCCACAGCTTCCAGGGACAGTGCTGGCAACTTGGAGGTGTCTGCTTGCCTGTCCTTGCGATCTGCAAAGGACACGGGGCTTGATGACTCCTCCAGCTGGTAAGGCTCTTCATAAATTAGTAGACTCCTTGACCTCACTGCATACAGAGACAGAAGGCAAAATGAGATGAGCAACAGATAGCTCAGAGGACAGGCCTGGTCATTTCAGGAAATGGAAACTGTTAGAGCAGAGCTAAAGCTACAAAGGAGTTTTCTTTTCATAGTGGTTAACTGGCAATTTGATAGCTGAAGAGAGAAACCACAGSAATGGTGTAGGTAGGGATCAAAAAGATCTAAATTATTCACAAAACTAGAACAAAATTAATCACTTTGATAATATTTTGGTTCATTATGGTTATGCAATACTGTTTCCCATTCTGTCCTTGGACCCTTTGGTGACACTGGCAAAGAAAACACCAACTGAAATMATTTGTGCTTTTTGACAGTATGAACATTTGCTACCCAGTAGAAACCCTGCTACCTTTCACATCCCACTAACTTTAGTTCCACAAACAAATGCAAAAATTCTTTAACTACCAAGCAGGCTAGTGGGGAAGAGGTTTTGCACATTTCTATGAAGTCTGCTGCCATCAGCATAGTTTGCCAAGCTATCCTTCTTAGAAGAACACAGATATATATTAAAAATGGCCATTTAAGGAGCAGAAAAGCAAGAGGTGCTTGAGAAGAGGGTTAGGAATGGGGATGGGAAACAAATGCTTAAGTACAATCAAGCAAAGAGCAAGACTGGAACAGCTGTCACTTACCAATGGAATCTGTGTAGGACTCTGGTGAGGAATGCTGCCTGGGCAACACCATCTTKGTAGCAGAAGGGTATGGCCCATAGCTCTGAGAGAAGCTGCCAAAAACTACTGCAAAGCACAGCACCACCATCTGGCAAAGGGAGGATGCAGAACAGGTAAGTGCACTTGACCCACATGCGTACATCAGAACTGATCCTTTATCAAAAGAAATCATTTGAGGCCGTTCTCATCACCACATACTTGGCAAAGGCACCWGTACAATAACAATTCAGTGTTCCAAAGGGCACAATTCAACCCTGGGGTTTGTTTTCAATGTCTGCACCATTCTGACCATTCTGCCTTATTTACCCCCAAAGTTGAAAAGCAGAAAAAGTTACCATGTGTGTTTTACAGACACTGCTGGGGATTTCCAAGGTTATTTCTGCTGCTGAGCCCAGTTTCACTTCCAAGTGACAGTGAGGCTAGACTGGGAGAACTGCTTAGGCCCTATAAATGATTTCCATCAATGTACAGCACTTCAGGTATAAAGGGGACTTACTAGCTGAGTGTAAGGAGGGAAAAAAAAAAATGTTTCATTCCACTCATTTTCTTATCTTGACTACAACTGCTGAAAAAGAATGGCAGTAGATTTACAGCCTCAGTCGTATTTTGATTTGGTTGAGCARGTTTATTTATATTGGTGTCAAAAGAACCGAGCCTCAAAAGTCACCCTCATTTTCATTTTACAATCCTAGACACCATTTCCCACATCCAATACCGCAGGAAATAATGAAGTGGGTCACTTGGAGGAGCATTGCTCCTTCTTTCATCACTSCAGCACCCAACTAAAAGCACAGGGCCAGTCTCCTGCAGTACCATCCCAAAATTATTAATCTTCACCAGTCACCAGTCTCAAATCATGAAAAGGAGTTCCCCAATCTGCAAATACGCCATTGAGAGGCTTTGCAGAACAGGAGATGTGCTTTTGAAGAGTGGAAAGAGATTCCCACCCCTAATTTGCAGCCTTAGGGACACTCACCATGAGACAGGTCCCCGTTTGTGTGCTGGCTGCCTTACACGAGCGGGACACTTTGCCAGCGACCATGGCTTGGAGTCTCTGCAACTGCTGCAGAAGTGTTCTGGAAAGCAAAGGCAACACACAAGCATCACACACACTGAGCTGCTTGTTGGTTAAATAGCTCTTTGTTTCAAATTCCACACCTGGAAATGAAACAGCATTTGGGATAAGGTAGAGGTAGTTAAGAGTCTTCTCCTTGAAATTACTAGAAATTAATGTTTTCAATTTTACGAAGGTTTACATGTATTAGCATTGGAACTTTCAAACAGATCTTTTGCTTTTCCCTCAGATGATGTCTCTGAACAGTTACTTCTTTAGTGCCTTCAGCAAGCTCTTATAAATAAAAATGGTATTTTCAGTGTTTCAATAAGAAATGGCACATTAACAACTGAAAGAGCTCTAGATGCAAGTTACATCCATAACCTGACTCTATGACATGAATTCAGCAGGAGTTTTGCCATTATTTTTAAAGAATCAAGTTTAWAACTGCTGTAGTTGGTTATCAAGGTATAGAGCTATCTCCTTTCCCCMAAAAAACCCATTGTTCAGTGCTTTAGAGCCCATGCTGGATGACTTTTAACAAGAAGGTCTTAAAAAGCAGACATAAGCACAGACTTCATTTCTCACATTCATTTATTAAATAAAACAGTTTATTGCTATTTGCTAAATCCTGCAGTTAACAAAAATTGCAGATGCTTCATGTGGCTACTCAGATTGTGTTATTCAGAGGTCCCAACCACAATGACAATTCTCTTGTGTTTGGAGCCAACAGTCCTTGTCCAGCAGAGTCTTCCTGTTTTTGGGTTGTTTTTTTTTCTGCTGTAGCATCAAWTACTACAGTCAGAATACAAGTAATTTAAATGGGAGATTATCCCAAAGTATGATTGATGCAGGGTTTCCACAGCAGTTTTTTTAACAGTCAAGGAGCAACTCAAATGCCTGTCCTCAACACAAACACAGCATAATTTTGTAACAAGATGTTGTATTTGCTGTTTGTTTCCAAGTTTACTTTTTGCTTCTCCTATAAGTTTCACAATCTGCTGTGGAGGATACCCCACAGAAACTCCAGACGACAGTTTTGGAGGCTGTTATGTCAAAAGCTAAAACAAGAGGCAAGGTCAGGATGTCAGAGAAAATAGAAGGAGTATTTTAAGACCAAACTGGCTAAAAGCTAATTGTAGGACAGACCCAGAGGTGCCTTCACAGCTCAATATACACTGGTCTGCCTATTTTCATAGATTTTTTTAATCATCAATGCTCMCTGCTAATTAGGGTTTAATGAATTCAAGGACTTCAGGAATACATTCTGAAATGAGCACAAGGCATTCTCACAGCACACATTTATCTGGGCCAGCAGATCCTTCYCAACTTATTGAGAAAGGATGTCTTGCATGCTCTTGAGAGCATGGCTTATTCTGCAACTCAGTGCTGAAAAAAGAGAGYGATACCCAATTCAAGCCTTTATTCAGCATCCAAGAGACCACAGGCAAATGAAGAGATACAGTGTCCATCCCATAAATGAGACCATCCTAATACATCCCTGCTCTCTTTGACATCTCTCCCCAGCTCCTCCTCATACCCACTGCATGGCACAGGGTTCATAAAATTTGATTGCACATAATTTCCTGGCACACACCAAGGTGCCAGCAGCTGTGTTAGACAGCRATGCCCTTTTAACCCTGAACTTTCTGTTGCTATTATGGAAGAATAAATCTTTCCCCCATTTCAGGTTTGAGTCACTGGGCTCGATGCAGAGCGAGGAGGAAGRAGCTCTCCTCCTCCTCAGCTCGGGGGCTGGCAGCAGCAGCAGCCTTGAAATGCTGATCATTCTTGCCACTTTTTGTGGAGGCGTCAGTGAGAAAACAGCTAATGGCTGGTGAGGAAATCAACAGAGAAGAGGCAATTCTCCTCATTTTGCTCATCTCTGCCTTTTTATGCTCAATTTGAAAAWCCTGTTGGGCAGAGTGGGCCCAGAGAGCTGATTACAAAACAGTCTCTTTGGAAAGTATAATTAGGCAGGTATTCTGAGGTCTCCTGTACACAGAGGAAGATTCATCCCCCACCTTATTTACCAACTACCTTCACATGAAGTGTCTTTCTTCCCCAAGTCATTYATCTGTTTTAGCAGAACTACTGTTTTCTTCTCAACAGACAGGGACTCAGTGTTTGGGGCAGACAGGATACATTTGCAAACTGTGAGCAAGAACCATGGCAAGAGCAAGAAACAAATTTGGTCAGAGATGACATCAGTTCATGCTGCCATGGCCAAAATGGGACACTCCTTGGTGCTTCTATTCTCTATCTGAATGACACAAAAAGATTTCCATGCAAAAGCTCATTATTGGACAGCTGCATGGATGATCTGGACCAAGAGAGGCCCAAGGAGCAGATCTCTACCCCACAAAATAGGGACTTGTCCTAAATTATGCTGTTCCCTCTAAACAGCAGCAGAAGGGCCATGAATGCTTTCAGTGGAATACACTGCCTATGGGTAAGTCCTAACAAGAGAAAAATCCAACCCCAAGATGGCATGCTCAGGGGTTTGCACCACAGGGATTATTTTCACTGTGTCTGACACATTTCCTGGGGATATTCAATTAGAGGRTCACCTCTGTAGGAGGTGTGAGCGTGCTTTCACGCTTTTCCCTGCCAATGGAAGCACCTCATAGGGAAACTGTAAAGTGACTGAAGACTCCTGCACTTCCTTCCATGTACTGCCAGCAAACTCACACTGTCTGGGATCTCTTGGTTCTGTGTGAATAGTCACATATATCCACTTCAGAAGAGGCCTTTTCACTTCCAAAGTATGGAAAAAGTCAAGGCTCCCTGCTTCCAGCTACACTTTTATTAAGGAGAGAAAACTTTCACTACAGAAGCACCTGGGAGGCTTCCTCAATTCAATATTTCTGTTTAAAACCCAACACTGATTTAAACAAACAAAAAAGAAATCTTCTGAGGGCCATGAAACACTTAATCAATTTTTGTTTAGAAAACTGTTCCTATTCTCTGAGGAACAAAATCTAATTCTGATAAGGAGAGAGAAAAATTATTCTGTCTTCTGATTCTACTCAGAGGCTCCTTCTCTGTCTGTCCCATTTGTAGGAAAGAGGACAAATCCCAAAGTAAGGTTTTAACGAAAAGACCACTTAAATCCATAACACTTCCTCATTTGAATTACAAAGAACATTTTCAGCAATTTTTCATAGAAGATTTTATTTCACATGAAAACCAATGTCCTGCTGCTCTGAAAGCAAGGAGCTCCTCCAGGACAGCCAAGATTTGTCAACTATTGTCAGGGTGACCTGAAAGTAAGTTCAAGATATCTCATTGCAACTTAAACCTAAATCCTTTATTCCTTGAAAATTATTTGGTAAAATGACTTGACCAGCCTCAAATTAAACAACAGGCAAGCAAATCAGTGAACTCTGGCAGCTTTGRTGMTGACAGMCYCTTGGTGGGTCAGATTGATGCACAACTTGAKCTTTAGAAGACTGTTTAGATTTACTCAAACCAATGGCTCACTGGTGGCTAAAAGACAAAAGAGATATGCATGTAAAAATGTGCTTCTCTGGTTTTGAGAACACTGCCTAGGAAGGAACTTGGATGGGTTTCTTCCAAGGGATTGAGTCACACGAATTAGGAGAGGTAACATATGCTAGTGTTCTAATACCAAAGCTGACAAAAATGCTGCACTCACCCACTCAGAGTAAAGAGAATTAAAAACTCTCCTGTATCTTCATCCCCAGCCTCCTGCTTTGCCTTTTGAGATGTGTGAATGCCAAGGGAGATGCTCCTGGATGGAACTTTTTTGACCACACTTGAACCTTTGACATTATATCTTTTCAGACGCAGATTTTGAGGCTAGGACTGGCTTTCAATGAAGACTCTTCTAATTTTTTTCATGTTACTGAGAGTAATGAAGGAACACTTTTACCAGAAAAAAAAGCAAACAAGTGTTTCCATGGTTTGAAGCCAGATTTTGAAATGCAAGGAGGGTTTCCCTGAAGTCTTAGGTATGTATCTATGCAAATGTGTTTTATATATAGAAAAACATGCTCTTAAAATTTGATTGCACATACTGAAAGGAAACTGCTGTTCAATAGCTGTGTGCTTTGGAAACTGCCCTTCAGTGCCTCTCAATCCAGCTAGACTACCCAAACATGACACTGACTGACAGCTCATAGATATTCATGAACTTTTATGTAAGCAGCTATAGCCCAATTTTCCAACAAGGTAAAAATCCAGGTTTGTCTTCACCTACACCTGAATGCATAAACATTTTAATATGTGATCACAGCTCTTATTTTTCTGTTATCTTTCTTCCACCCTTACAATTTTTTACAATGGAAGAACAGCTCTGATGTCTGTAGATCTACTTGTAGATAATATAGTTAATAATGTCTTCATTTTTTACTGCAATGAACACTCAAACTTACAACTGAAGTCAATAGGGCTCTGCTTTGGGCATATTAAATTAGACATATGTGTGCACAACCGTGTCAGGTACTTTGAGAAATAAAGTCCTAAACCTATAAATTTGGGCATCTGACACACCAAACTGATGCTAAAGAATTCTGACCACCACTGCTCTGAAMGTTGATTTCTGACTGTACATAAGAGATGAAAGTTCCAGCCATACTGTGGCTGTTCCAGGATACTGTGAAGACAAGTTCTGAAACATGAACAGTTTTTGGCTGTCCTGCCAAGGCTCTGTGCAAATACCCATGAGGAAATCAGGTATTTTGAATTCATTGTAGGATGTAAACAGTGTACATTAAGCCAGGGCCTGGAACCATTCTCTGAATGAGATAGTTGCACAATTAGATAGTAAATCAGAAAAGTGGCTTTTTGGAACCGAGTGAAAAAACCCATAATATGGTAAGTTACAAAACTGAGGTTTGATGAAAGTAGGCACTTTTACAAATTTCTCAGTACTTCACATGTAAGCCTTAGCAGATTTTAGACACAGATGATATCTAAATATCCAAAACAGCATTTTGCCATGAATGACAAGAATTTCTGTGCAGAAGGATGAACATCTGCTTCTCTGCAAGAGATTTCAGATCAACATCAATCTACTGCAGAGGGAAGGAAACAATACAACTCATCCCACATGGCCAAAGTATGAAGGATTTGGAGATAACATCACTTACCTAAAAATTTTTAGAGCATTTAGCATGAAAGAATTAAGAYAATCAAATAATAGGTAAGATGCTAAAGGTCCTTTCTCAAAGGGTGGACAATACCAACAGAGCTGTTATCATGAATGCATCCTCAACAGCTCAGAGATGAAAACAGCTGGCCAAATTTATTTYAACTGGGGAGAACAACTCCAAGGTTGACAACTTGTTGTCCCCAAGTAGATAATCAACAGCTGCACCTTTTCTTAAGAGAACTTGGCTTCAGTACCTTCTGGGACAGATTCTGGGTGAGACATCCCTACTCCACACCTACAGAATAATTCCTGGTTCTTTTATGCCAAAGCCTGGAGGACGATCTAAGTGGCACAGAAATGGCTTGGCTCTCTTCAAGCAAGCAGCAGATGTCTTTATGTATGAGCAGTGTGTGGGAGACAYTCTCCAGCAAGGCACAATGCTACAGGCTCTGGCTTCATGAAATYAGAGATTGGATCCAGAGATTGGAAACAACACATGCCACTCGATTAGCAATCAACGGGCTGCCAGATAAGCTCTAGGGCCATTTTCTGTGATCGTGGGTCTTATCTTCAAAACYCAGCCCCCTCCCACACTTCAGTGGCACCATCGTGTTCCATGGTAATAGTCAACCATCACTTCAAATGCCTGTAACTGAAAAGTGTTAAGAGTGGGCTCATCTAGGACCTACTCACTGGAATTTGCCACACTGAGCATAAGCCAGGACTGCCACTGCACTCTCAGCTAACATCCAATTAAAAACTGAGCTATCAAAACATTTTCTGCCATGTGTCCTTTGAAAAAGCCACCACTGAGTCACCCATTTCTTTAGGAAGAAGGTGATTTTTCCCTCCAAAGGAAGGAAATTCTGGGGTGTGAGATGGTTATAAAGGTGCGCAATAAATAGTCATAAATACATCTAGTAGTGCATAAGGAGCTAATAATGACTTTTGAATTTCAGCACTGTAATTTCTGGAAGTGCCCTGTCCCAGGTTAAGGCTTCCTGGCAAAATTTCACTAAATGGAGACAACTGGGAGAGCTGGACTGTAGTTTTTTTGTTTGTTTTGTATTACTACTTACAATCCCTTGTGCAGTGGAAGAACCCAAAACGAGTGCTAAGAGGTTTCTCAAGCACACCACAGGCTGAGGAGACAGTTTAAGATATGACAACAAAACCTCCATGCTTTACATCCCAAGGCAGTCACAGTAAATATGATGTGCCTTCCACATCTTTCTCTGATGTGAACTCCTTTAGACACAGCTATTGTTCATATTTCAGTTGATCTCTTAATCCCCAGATTTTCACTTTTCAGTGGAATATCCTGCTATGTTTTTTTTTTTCTGATCTCCATACCTTACCTGTTAGTGTTCTCCAGGACTTCAACCTTCTTACGCAGCTCGCTGTTTTCATTCGAGCAGGTCTCGACTCTGGAAGTGGCACAATGAAAGGGAAATTTAAAAAYATCAGTTATTTATTCAAGAGGTCATAAAACAAGCCAAACTTGCTTTTACTGAGAGCTCCACAATCTTGCCTACATTTAAAGAAACATTACACCAATGAACTTAGGTCAYAGTATTGAATCACATTTCTCAGTGTGAAAAACACAGCAAAAGTTGCACCAGCTATCTGGCAAATGCCATGCTTCTAAATCAGATACTCAAATTTCAAGTTTTGAGGGCTAATAAACCAGGAGACTAAAAACAGTGCTCAAGACTGTCCCAGGATTCTACCCATTTCCACACTGTCCCTGGAAATCCCCAAACTAAAGGAATTATATATAACACGGCACATAAGAGGTCCAGGTAAAATATGTGAGTCCTAAGAAGACAAACAGGACCATCCTGAACAGCTTCAAGAGGAAAAAGAGAGAAGGAAATAGCCTTGATATCTGGTATGCAGGAGGTAGAATATCACAAGAGTAACTCTGAAAAGCGAGACAGAGCTATAAAGAGACAAGGAAAAAATGGAAATTACATCAAAGATATCACCAAAGATGGTATAAGGGTTTTAACAGAACCATCTGGTGAATTGCATAAGAGTAATACTAGAATATTCATCTCCTGGAAGAAAGATTCATTTGGAATATAAATCATTAACTGGGGGTTTGGCTCCTGCTTGCTGAGGGAAGYCGATGGGTCACATGCTATTTTCCCGAGTCCTGCTTATTTTCCCAGGCAGTCCTGACTCATCCACTTCCTATTTCTGTTTTCATCTGCACTARAAGACAGAATATGCTCACTCTGTATCCATCCTTCCCTGAACACTGCCTGTCCACCGGGCTAACACAGGTGAAGACCAACAGCAGCTGGCTCTTGCCTGATTTTAGGTGCAAAGTGTCTGCTGGCACATTAGGGACCTGCACAGCCCTGACCCCTGGCAAGCAGCTGCCAGCAGCAGAGTCTTTTCTCAGTCACTGCCACGAGATGGCAGCTGGCACTCTSTGCATGGAACTGTCCCAGCAGCCACAGCTGGATCCCTTCCCAGTCCCACAACTCCTGCTATTGGCCTGATGGAAACAGGAAGGAGGCTGGCTTACTTTTTTTCCAGACTGTCCATGTATTCTTTCTTTTTYCTTCTACTTTCCTGGGCAGAGATCTAAAGAAAAACAAGGGAAAACATCAAAMGTTTGCATAGAAAACGAAAGCATCAGAGATGAATTAACAAACCCCAAATTTATTAGATTCAAGCCTCTGTCTTGTTCTCATTTCTATTCCTGGCAAGCACAGCGCTGACTCGATCTATTTCCACATTCTGAAGAMAGACTCCTCCTCTCAGTCACGCAAAAAAAAAAAGATCATCCCCTGCTAACCTTAAAAAGTAAATCACAGAATATCCTAGGACAAATACTAAAAGATATTCCCAGGACAATGCCCTGCATTTGGGAGAGGAAAAGTCCATGAATGTATTAGAAAGCAGCTTTGCAAAGACATGGGGCCCTGAGGAACAAGTCAAACATTTGTCAGCAATGTTGGAAAAGTAGCCAACAAAGCATTTCTCTGTAGGTAGCAGAAAAATGGCTCTTCCCCCTCTGTTCAGTGGCTGCAAAACCACAGCTGAGCAGAGCAGCAGAGTCTGTGGCTCAGAAACAAATCCTCTGGATGTCCAGAAGCAAGCCCAGAGGCAGACCACTGCTATARTAAGCATGCCAGAGCACATGACATTTCGGGAAGGGCAGAAAAAGCTGTGCTTGTTCACACTGAAGACAAAGGAAGGAATCCTATTGCTGTCTTAATCTTTGCTTCATGAGAAAGCTGATGTCAGAGCTCTCAGAGGTGCACAGCAAAATAGCAAGAGGCATCAAATACCAGCTGCAGCAAAGGAAATKCTAATTAAATGCTAGGGATTCTATTTATTTGTTTATACAAGAGTGGTCTAATATGGGAACATGTTGCTCAGACATCACCCTTTGGGGCATTAAAATGTGACTGGACAAGACCCTCAGCAACCTGCTCTAAGCTGACCCTGCTTTCCAAGCCAGGAGTATAACAAAAGGACCTCCAGATTTCCCCTCCAATATAAATGACTCGTGATTGTATGTAAGTGATACATGAAAAGCMCAAGATCACTTCAAAACATTTTGGAAAAACACATTACAAGACTAAATTCCAATTTAAAGTGGACAAATTTACACCTCTATCTGCAAAACCAGTAGCAGAATACAGTAACCACTAAAGATATGCCAAAATCCTGTAGAACAAGTGAGAGGGCCAGTCTGAAAAAATTGCATTTTTCCCCACCACTAGGCTCCTCCCCATGTCTGAAAAAAAAAAAAAAAAACCAAACCCAAACTTGTAGGGCATTTGGCAGCCTTGGCATCAACTTTACAAGTCGTTGGATCCAGTGACCAAAAGACTAATGTACTGAAATACAGAGTCATATTTTAAAACAGGAAATAGAAAAGAACACGTTCATCACCATGAAAAGAACACAGAGGTCTTTGCCTACCATAAGAGCAGAATTATACTGATTTTTAAACAGAGCCAAAGCCACAGCAACTTGATACCCTGCCTGCTAAATACTCTATTGTTAATGGTTCAGGTAAATACCTACACTGAGGCACACTCATAGTGACAGACAATTTGATGGATGTGTTTAGGAACAAAAAGKGCTTTATTAAAAGACAACTTATAGCATTCAACAGTAACACAGACCATTACTGCAGAATTCTGCAGCTTTTTTTAAAACAAAGGACAAGTGGGAACTACCCAGCAAAGCTAACTATTTACCTTGTTTTTTATTTTCCTGCGGATTTTCTTTAGCACTTTCTCCTCTGCTTTTGTCAGGGGCAGTTTGGTAGGGATTGGGTAGCCCTCTGCTATCAGCGTTCTCTTCTCCTCCTCTGTCAGGATGAGCGGGCCAGTCCCCTGCAATTTCTTCAAGGGTAGAAAATAGAAATTATAGAAGATAATATAAAACAAAACAGTAAGTGCACACAGTCCTAGAAGAAAAGGTTTTTAGGGAAGAGAGGCAGAGAGGACTAGGCCTACTAGAACAACAGCCTCTTGGAACTGTCAATGTGTGGAAGACCTTTTAGGCAACTTCCATTCAGAGTTTGAACCTTTGGGAAGGATTCCCCCAAAATAATCATTCTTGGCCCAGCTCTGTACACMCAGAGGCCAACAGTAAAACTGTCTTTGGCTCAAAGAGAGAAAGAGACACATGAGAAACACCACTGAAAATGCCTCCCTAAAGATCACCACTTGATGAGAGTGATGAGAGGACAGATGCAGATCTACCACAGACAGGTCAACCCAGCAGGGCTGGGCCCTAAGGCAAAACACAGCCTGTGATGGGATAAACCTGATAACACCAGTGAACCCTGTCTCAACTYAAGAGGAGAAGCATATGCTGTTCTCTGTGGGAACAGAACAGACCAGTGAGCAAGAACTACTGGATCCGCAGTTTTGACCAGACGTGAATTTATCTAAACAACAACAAAAAGTTCGCAAATCTCTGTCAAAAGAAATAAAAAAGAAGACACACAGATAAATGTTGGAGAAAGCCAGCTCAACTTACATGTGGTGCAGTCAGGAGAGGGGAATTGGAGAGCACTGAAGCCGTGCGTGATGGAACTTTAGGCGTGGCTTGGAGCTGGACAGGGCTGGAAGGAGGGAGCGACCGAGCCGGGCTCTGCCCTCCTTCAGAGTCACTGCCATGGCTGCTGGGAGGGGTGGGAGGCAAATGCAGGGGATCCACTGCTAAAAGGCAACAGAGACAGAATGTAACCCAAGGTTTGAAAGTGTCCATTTAAATTGCTGCTGCYGCCACCACACAGTTTCCAAGGGTAGGAATGTCTGCTAAAAAATGGATCGAGCAAAAGTGGCAAATTGGAAGATGTTCGAGCATGCAGGTCTCCAAAGAAGGAATGAAATGCAGCAGCTATCTTTAGGTTTGACAGACAAAACAGGGCTCTGTGCATATGCTCCAGTCACTTCTACCTACACTTCAGCKTCTTCTTCAAATGCTCTGAGGTTTATGTAGAATGTAAAGTACAAGCTCCCTGTTCCTGGGAAGCTACATGAGCAGAGGGGCTCTGAGTCAGCATACTTTCTCTCCAAAAACATGAGCGGGCAAAAATAGTATTTTCTGACTTTACTGTGGATTAAACAATTTGCCAGTATTTTTCAAGGGAAGGGATCACATCCAAGGTGTTACATGATCAGGAAGGAGAGAGAGGCCTCCTAAAGATGTGGTTTGGCACAACTGAGAAGTGACTGACAACCTAGTGACAGCAAAGGCTTCAATGCACTGATGGAGCAGGAGCAGCACAGGCAGCCACCACAGGAACCTCTCTCACCCAGGGCCATAAAATAACTTCAATTACAGCCAAAAGAACCTGCTCTAGAATTGGCAGGCAAAGTGCTGTTTATGACCAAATGGGCCTGACCGAGAGAAGCAGGGCATGTCTCACCTACCCTCAATGCATGGACCATTGAGCAGATGTTCAAAACAGCCATAACTAAGTAATATTTTTTTTTCTCTGAGCTAAATTTACAGCAATTAAATTTTCAAGTAGGAAGATAAAGGGCTAATTTGCACCTTCCACTTTTGTTATGCTTTGCAAATTCGAGTTGAAAAGACCAAATGGGTGGTGAGGGAGGATATAAGAAAAATAGTAATTGGTCTCGCATCCTAGCTCTTGCAGTTGCCAGAAGAATAAACTTATTTGAAAAACAGAAAGGCCCTTAATCCCACTAACTGAGCAAACAGATCTATACCCTGGGATGAGATACAACCTCCCTTTATCCACCTGCTACATCATTTGCTTCTCTCCCTAGAGCAGTACTGCTTACCTAGAGAAATGAATACACTAACAGAATATCAAGTGTTTCTAACTGAAGTGCAGTTATCTGCTCAGATTTCATGCCAAATRTTTAGCTCTTCCAAAGTTTTCTTGGCTTTAAATGTGTTTAGCTTTCAGGGCAGGCACCTTTGCTCCTCCTTCCACATTAGAGTGTAGTACAAAGAGGTGATGGTGGCTCTTAAAACTAATATGCTACAAAGGGATTTGCCTAACTTTTATCTTCATATAAACTCACATCCTTGCTTTTGCATCAGAGGTTAACAGTAAAGCTTCCTCTGTCTTATCTAACTCTGCTCAAATTGATTTCTTTTCTATTTAAAATAATCCTGTATTTGAAGAATTCAAGCTCCCTTTGGTACAATTATTAATACCYTACAGACAAAAAGGGATCATTTTCTTTGTGATGAAAAAGGGAGGGCAAAAAAGAAAGGAAAAAAAAGCACMTAAATAGCCGGAGCTGAATCCCTAGAAAAGAACAGCTTCAGCCTAAAGACTAACATGGTGAASAAGGAATCCAAATATTTAATCAGGGTAAAGTACATTTATTGTGCTTTCTGGTCATCTCCCCCTACATTTTCTTTTGGTATTTAACAGACCTTCCTTAGAAGAGAGGTTCAGGAACTGATCCACTTCATGGGGCTCCAATTTAATCTCTGGAAGAACTTTCTGGGTCAGTGGTTTCATCTAGAAAAGAGAAATTAACAGCATGAAAACCTAGAGTACACATCTTAAAAATCTTAACAGAAGGACACAAGGATTACTTCTCCATAAATGGAGAGGTTTCCTCTCCTCCTGCTCTGCTATGGGCAAAGCTTTGACTGCTTCACACAGTTTGCTAAACCAGGCTACAGAGAATACTGCCCTGACTACTCCCACTATGGCTTTTCTTACTACTACATTTAGCTAAAATAAAAGATTACGCCTCAGAGATGACATTTCAGACTGAAAGCTAACATGCAACCCACTCAAATTACTTCTCTTAGCAACAGAGGCGCTGCTAGGATTTGCTGGACTGCACAGTCTGTTTGAGCAAGGACAGAAACACCCTGGGTGTCGGGGAGAGCCTCTTAAAGGCCATTGTCATCTGGGAGCAAGAGCAGGGTGCCAGTCACCGAGCACCAGGTTTTGGGACCTGAGTTCATTTCACAGGAACTTTCATTGAACTCCCAGGCCTGAGGAAGTCTGTCTGGAACATCAGCATTTTCATTGCAGCCAAATCTCTCTCAGCAACCTGTGTAACTTAACTAATCCATGCAACAGCAGTGAGCCACCAGCAAGTCCCAATGCTCTGTCTGCAAATCTCAGCATCCCAAGCTACAGCAGGACAATATACTGGGAACAGCACATTCAAATTAGGAGAGAATTATGGGAAACTGGTGCTTAGCTTTTTCCAGTTTCTCGTAAAATAATTTCTGTCGCACACATTTCTGATCCACATCCGAGTGGAAATATTTATTTTCAGCATGTATCAACTCCCTGAATCCTGAAATGACATTGCATTCTGGGGTCTGGGAACAGCCATGCTTCTTCCCCAGTGGCTGGGGACCCTGGTGAGCTGCTGCAGTTCATTGTCCTTAACCCAACCACAGCCAAACTGAGCTCTTTAGGATGCCCACGGGCTGCTCCAGCTGTGGTCAGAAAGGCATCACAAAGCTCCTTCTGAGGCTGGTTGGTCTGGAAGTAGCAGCAGCTTGAAATGTCAAAGTTGCACARATCTGGCAAAAGTAACTTTGCAGGCAAACAGGGAAACTCTCCAGTCAATCCAAACAAGGAGTCTTGCTCTGCTTAGGGGAAGGCATAGCAGCACTAAAGCAAATTCTTATGAAAGACACTTAGCAAATGGATTTTGATAGAGCAAATGGATTAGTCAGTTCAGGTGCAGCTGGTTCATTAGAAACTATTCAAATATTTCTAAAAACCCAAGAGCCCCAGGCTTTGGAGCTAGCATGGAAGACAAAGTTGTATATCCAACCATTAAAAGGTGAAGATGCAGACAAGTATTTTAAAAGACARACTCTTAATAGCAACAGTGGGACACCAGCAAACATTAAAAACCATTAAAGCAGACTGCAGCGTGCACCCTGAACTGCCAAGCTTTGGCACCAAGGAGGCCACATGGGAATGCAGTTTTAGAACCCGTGGCTAATCGTGCAGAGAGGAGAACAGGAATTCTGAAATACCAGGGCATCTGTGTGCAGCTCAGGCTGTTCCCCCTCCAGCGACGTGGCYGTGACAGTGAGACTGACTGAGGGAGCAAGGCCTGATGTCTCACACAGCCCCGGCTCAGTCTTTATTGATGCTGGAGTAAACTCCGTAGCCAGACACCATTCCTCATTTTCCAGGTCACCTGCCAGGGAAGGAAATTGGACACCACATGTTTAGATCAGGGACAGAAAGASGACAAATGAAAATAATGTCATTCCTCCTCCAGAGAAGGGAAACAAACACAGGAGACATTTTAGTCTATCAACAAAACTCTGCCCTTGCCATTCAGCTCTCAGTCAATGCAGACAACCGTGCCATTTCAGGGCTGTAACCTAATCCTAGCCCCAGGATACACAGAGGAGCAGCGAGGAAAGACACAGCACTAATCACTGWGCATTGCTGAAAGCTGCTAATGCGTAGCAGAACAAGACTAAACAAGCCACTGGGTAAAGCAGCCAGAGAGCCATGTCCCAAACAGGCTAATGCCTGCTGACTCCTTTTTATTCCTCCTTCTAGACATAGCCTTTAGCTAGACTTCTGCTTCTTCCACTGCTTGCAGTCAGCAAACAGCTCAAATGGTGAGATTATATTTTTAAGAACAAAGTATTTGTCGCACCTTAAATTCATTTTTTTCCCCTCCAAGGATTCATTCAGTAAGTGCTAAAGAGGATATAGGCTTTGATGATTTCACAGGAGCACCAGTGCCATGGTGAMCATGCTAATTTCCTGCACAGAGCCTCTGGGAAGTCACAGCACAGGATGCATATTTTAACTGGCAGCAATGTGCATCATGTGTTGGCAGAATTATCCCCTAACTCCACTTAYTGCAAGCTCACTAGTCAGGAGAAAGCTGTGCATCTTTTCTGTAGATAAAGCTGAAAGGTTGCCCAGCACTGTCAAGAACTGGAAGGAGATTGGCACGGTAAGTTTAGTTCCCCATTTCCATTCAGTGTCTGACTTGCTGAAAAAGGGATTATTTTGCCAGTCTGAAGTATGACAGAGGATCACAAACTTGGAAAGACTCAACCTGAAAACAATTCCACGAGGCTATTAACAACCCCTTTTAAAAACACAAAATAATCAAATGCAGTTTTGACAGTTGCAATTCTGCCTCAGGAAACTTCCTATTTCAACTGCTAGACTTYAGTCATGGCTGTTCTTTCCTGTTGCAGGAGAATATCCCACACCAACTGCACTGCATCCCAATAGCATGAGGCACAGTCCTCTGCCACAGCTCATCTGTCGTTGTGAGAGGCACAGCCTTTAAATCAAGCGSCTGGAAACTGAAGGCAAATATACAGAAAAGAAAAAAGAGTGTTGATCTTTCTTTGAAAGCTTTCTTCTGCTTTCAAACGGATTATTTACTGCACATGCAAAATTAAGAGAGAGCAAGTAGCTACACTGCAGGGCTAATAAACACAACAGAGCTTTGAATTAACCACATGCTGCACCAACATCCTGGGAGGCAGCCATGGGACTGTGCCTGTGCCACCAACATCCTGCAAGGCTGCACAAGACCCTTCATTCACAGCTGAGTGCATCGAGCTGGTGAGATATCAACAGAGGTCAGTTGCAAACAGGTAACAAAAATAAGAGTGGGCTCACAGCCCCTGGACTGCTGTGTGTCCTTGAAATTAAGACCACACACACGCACAGAGCACTGGGCAGAATCTGAATGCCTGGAGGAAGGGAGCAGAATGCACATCTCCAGTACTTGTAATTACTTTGTGGTGGGACCTAACCTCCACTACTGGCAAGGAAGGAGGTAATTTGACTGAAGACACACCAAGGAATTAAAAATGAAAAGTACRTATCCTGTAATCAGAAGCTCAAGAAAAGCAAGACCAGCTCTGCCAGATTTAACTGTAGAGCAAGGGATAAATACCATATTTAAGTTTCTGGAGAGCTTACTCCCAATGCTTCTTGGGAAATGCAAAAATAGAAATATTTATGAAAAAAAAAGAGGTAGGCTTGTCTAAATATTAACTCAGGAGAGAGAACATTGCTCTCTTTCAATCCTCCCTGAGCCTCTCTACTCACAMACACAAAAGTGCAGCTCACTCTCGGCTTCTGTGTGTGCATCATTCAGGTAATACCTTCAAAGTGATATCTGCCTAGAAATCCAGAATCCCTTGGTAAATGTGACTTTCCAATGGCTGTTTGGATAACTTGTGTTAAAACTGTCCCCGTGTCATATTATGCAGAGCCTGTGTTCGAGCTATCCCTGTGGCAGCACTATTGTGAAGGCTATGGATAAATGAGAGCTATTAGTGAAGCCAGTAATTAGCCCTGAATTTTCTCACATTTGTGTCATTGTGCAAGTAGAAGCGAAATCCAGCCATAGGTGACCAGCAAAACAGGGCATATCCTCTAAGACTGCACTTTATGATGTTTATCACATCTAATCCCCAGACTGATCACGAATATTCAGCTGCTCTAAGACAGCAAGATATGCTGGCCTTCAGCTGGTCATTTCACTCCTCTGGAATCCATCATTTCACTCCTCTGGAAGCCGACTGCTGATTAACCTGACATCCCTGCCATCCCCACTTAGCTCTGCATAAACTACTTGGAGTTATTCTAGGCTCTAAAGCCAGTCTAACCAGTTTGCAGGGTTACAGATGGTTTCCAGCCACAGCCACACACTGCGTTTAACACTGAGATCATTCCAAAGAGCTGCATCTGGCACTTTTTTGACACTGCCTCTTACAATACATGGTGACAGCTGTCATTCCAGATGAACAATTCCGTGAAAGGAAGGGATGGAGGACTGGTCAAATCTCACCTTGACACCCTCCTCCCCTTACTTTTTCCAAGTTGCTGTTTTGCATCCCTAATCAGGATCAGTGAGTTTTGTGCTCTGAGTTCCTTTCTTTTGACACATTCTACCAACAACCTCTCCTCTGCTCCATGGACACGTCCCACTCTCCTTTCTCCTTTTCCTAAACACAGCAGGTTGACATTATCTGAAAATAATTCTTAGTTTATTTCTATAATAGCTCYTTAGCATCTCAGTCTACTCTGCCAAGCACTGTGCTAGCAGAGCACAGCAGCAAACCCTTCTCCCTACGCCTTTTGAGAATGCCACACAAAACCAGAAAAACTCAGGCAAAAAGGAAATATGGAGCAGGATAATGGATTAGGGGTCATACAGAAAGGTATGGCACACCCTCCAAGACAAGTGGAATTGGATTTTTCAGATGATTTAGCCCTGTTATTACCCTTGATCAAAATACAGAATGCACTGAGCTTTCAGGTTACATATATAAAAAATTAGACACAGTCTCTAAACAACATCATGTGCAGCTTTCTAGGATATTCATATTTCTCAAAAAAATACAATGTTTTTCTTCTTTTCTTGTTCCATGGGCATGTTATGGAAAGGCAGGATAGGAAAAGTGGAAAACAAGCTCAAAAATGCTCACTTCAATGGTACAATTTTTCTAATATCAGAGTTCCCAGAAAGTTTTGCTTTCCTTCTTTTATTTCTATCCAACTAATTCTTCAATCTTGTCCAACATACCAAATCCTTTCCTATRAAAAAGTAAATCTTCTCCAAAATTGACTAAATTTTACTCTTTCTGACAGATACAGAGAAATAGAGCTTACAAAATAACTAAAATGGTGCCCCTTGCTCCCCACATTGTTTTCAGTACCCATCATTAGAGTTTAACAGAGACATTTATTGCTGGATAATTAAGCTACATGTGCATTTATTGTGTATTTTTAAATAAGTGAGAGATGCACTCTGCATCTTGCCCTCACTTGTCCCAAGTACAGAGAATGCAAGTATCCAGAAAAACAACACAGATTAAACTTTTTTTTTTACCCTGCAGTAAAAAATAAGATAGCACCACTATGTAAACAACCCTTATGAAGGGTGTACCACTGAACCTAATCTTGAAGGGGGAAAAAAAGCCCGTACCACCATTACAGATCTCCACCACAGAAAACAGATCATGCACTGAATGTCATTTCAAACCAGTGTGCAAAGAAGACCTGTGGAATCATCAAGGGATACCCTTATCTGTATCAGCAGAATGAAGAGGCAGCTTTTACCTCCTCCTTAAAGGTCACTGTTCAAGCAACAGATAAAGTAACTCAGAGAAAAACAAAACTGAAAATTTAAGGAGACCACAGCAGACTGTTGGTCAAAGGGCTCTGTACAGGTTTCAGAAAAGCCACCTCTGAACAGGGTAGTGCAGCAAGTTCTCTAATGAGTCAAAGTGTTCTGCATTGAAATGTTCTGTATTTAAATAATCTCCCTCTTCAGCTGTGTGGATTTGAGCAATAGGGCTTGAGCTAATTCCTTCTGGTCYATGGCAGACCTTACACTGCTGATGCAGAGATTTTGGGTATGCTGCTGGACGTGCCACCTGCAGGGAAGGAAGTTCAATGCCCCCAGCTCTGCAGAGTCAGCCTTTCCAGCCTCCCAAAGGCAAGCTGGACCTTGCTGGAGAAATAATTGCTTCCTTCTCTTTCCCCKGGGTCTGGATGGTTCTCAGTGCCCAGCTCTGGGCTCACATAACGCTCCCCATCAGACACAAGCCCTGTTTATCGTGCCTGAAATGCTCAACTCCAACGCCACTACCTCTCCCCCTCTCTCCTTCAGGAGGTGAGAGCCCACATTCATCGACAAACAGTTCCTCTTACAGATTTTCCAGATGGCATTTCCCCCTCCCAGCGTGCACTCACACTCCCACCGCAAATAATGAAACCCAAGCCCTCAGAACTGCTTCCACAAAAGAGATACTGTCTGACTACCAAACATTGGGGTCCTGTTTAAAGTGCCAGGAAGGGAAAATTAAATAAAGAGGCAAAGAGAAGCAGCAGTGATACACAGTAATCACAACACATAGCAGAAATAGCTTTCTTCATAACAAATTATCATCGCTCAGAGTGGCATCCTCTTTGAGCAGCTCGGAGTCCACCTAAAATCCAGATAATTTGTATCACTGTCAAAGTTACGGAGACAGAAACAGACACATCACCTTTATATACATGATATATAGACTGAGGTGGTAGCTTTACAGCTCTGAAGCTGGATACCATTAAATATCCTATATAAGATTGTGATTTTCTTTTTTTAAGGTTTATGAAAGTTATCCACAGAAGCCCTGTGGCCACATAAAATAGTTTTCTCTCTCAGGTCTGAATTTTTCTCCTCTCACCCCACGCAGAGGCTATGAAGGCAGATCGGTATTATGGCTTCAACACACACGGAATGGACTCGGTGCTCACAGTGCATAACTAAGTGAGCACGAGCTGTCAGTGCAACCCTACAGAAAAAAAATGAGATCACTGCTTTCACAAACAGCAGGACTGGAAGTGGGAGAAGTGTTCCCATAATGTGCATCAGCAGGGAAACTATTCCTAGGAAATCAGTTCCTGTAGTCACTTGACAAAGAGTTTCTGAAAAGAACTGCAAATGTCCCTATGTTGAGAAAAGCACAATTGCTGAAAGTCCACAAGATTCCACCTAGGGGGAAACACCAAGGAAGTGCAGTGCATTTAGACGGTATCCAAGCAGAAATCAAGAGGGACTGTAATCACAGCCTACAAACACTTAGGGAAAGAGGTTTCAGAGAGCAGATGGTTCTTTAAAAGGAAAAAAGGCTATAATGAGATCTCATATATGTGGAACTGGAAGCTAAAGGAGGCCAGAGTGCAAATAAAGCTGACAATTATTAACAGCAAGCATAAGTAAATCAAAACCAACATTTTTCAGACATGCTGCTGCTCAAGTCACAGTTACAGGTTGATGCAGAGTGACCTACTGAGATTGTGGAGCCTGGACATTTGAAAGATCAAACATCTTTTCATACTTTAGTATCAATTTAGTTGCTCTCCTACAGAGCAATGCTTTCAGACACWTAGTGTGATTCTTGGGRTGTCCTGTGCMGGGCCAGGAGCTGGGCTTGATGATCCTGATGGGTCCCTTCCAACTCAACATATTCTAGGATCTGTGACTTTAAAACTGTAGATGGTGACAAGGATTGACTGCTACTTTTCCCTATAAAAATCAGAAACCATTCCMTTTGGAATGGCTTTCTCCTCATTTCCTAAATAAACATACAAAAGAAAAAAGTTATTTAGAAAAAAATTGCAGGAATGTGCTCTCAAAAATTATCAGTATGCCTTTGACAGCACCTTTTGAAAGCACGAGTGAATTTCTTTGCTCATTTCTGTTTACTTCAAAGACAGGGCAGAAGAGATTCCCGTTTTCATTGTTCACATTACATTGATTGAGTATTTGGAGAAAAACACACAGAAGAAGGACATTGTATCTCTCTATATAAAGGCTATATTAAAAAAAAAAAAAACCACCAAAATTAGGATATGTAATACAACCTCCTATAAATACTAAACTATCATGATTTAAATATATACCATATATACATATTATGTGTGTGCACACATATTGATACATTTTAAATGTATAAAGACCAAGCTGAGCCTCAAGCCCAGAGGTGCCTCCATGCAAAGAGACAGCACATGACACCGATTATTGCTTGTGAACACCATATCTAAGCAAGTGTTTTCATGCACACAGCCCTGCCTGAGACAAGGCTGGATTTATTGTTGAATAATAATTATTTATTGGCACTGGAGAAGTGGGAGCCACRTTTTTTGGGGTTTTGTTTGGSGTTTTKATTTGTTTGTGTTTTTAAAACTATGTAGGGAGATGGACTTGAAGTTTAGAAGTTAAAAACGAAAATTCCAGTTTTAAAAGCACATTACAGAAAAACAAGACCTCAGAAGTAAAAAAACCAGTAACAATACAGGTTACAGTCTGGGGCCAGCCCCAAATTTGGCACAGCTAGGAGTAAAATGGAAACACACYATTTCAGCAATCAGCCTGTCAAACCTTCAGCCAAGACAAGCCTCTTCAAATCCAAAAGTAACTTCAAAGCATTCCTGAKCAGGAAAGCACCAACAGGAGGGGCAGGTGGGGACTCAGAGCAGTCTCAAAAGCAGGAATGCACTCAGCCACCCGGGCACAATGTGAGGAGACACAACACAAAAATGACTGGCCAGCTGTCCTCTGAATGCCCTGCCAACCTCACTAAGTAAAAAAACAGAAAAATCAAACATATGCCCACCCCCAGCACTTGAGCTGATCTCAGAGGATGAAGATGCTGCAGGCTCTGCCTTCACACTCCTGCTGCACAGCAGCCCCACAAAATCACCTGTACTCTGCTGTCACTTATGGAACTCACATGTCCAAAACAAGGCTCAGCCATTGCCCTAAAATTTGTGCCTAGAGCTGACAAGACCAAGCATGGGAGAACAGGGAAGGAGCCYACATCTCAAGTCACAAGGAGGATAACCATAGTCCTTGCTGAAATTCGAGTCTTGCCTTGCTCCTGGCTCTGGCCCCTTTATAAAAGGCTGCAGAGACTGGAAAACTGAAGACAACACAAAAATTAGGCTTCTTTTCCCAATTAGTTTACAACTGCCTGAGGTGAATCTGTGCCCTAGAAGGCCGTGACCTCCCTTACCCATCCAGCCCTATTCTCAGTGTCTCCTCTCAGCTTCGTGTTCTCTCGAGAGCATTTTCCACTTCACAACCACCCACTGTCCTTCTCCACTCTGCAGTTGTTTCAAAAACCCCAGGGCTCAAAACCAGAAAGCAGAAAGCTGGTGGGGGAGAGGTGGCAGTGCAGCTGGTGTGGAYTGTTGGTACACAGGACACAGCTTCCTTTTTCGTGTTGCAGCCTGAAGCCTTCCCCAGGCCATATCCCTTCTTCACCACTTCAGGCAAACAAAAATGATCAGCCACCTGCAAGCAGGCAGGTCAAGCCTATAAATCTCTCTCCCTCTGGTACCTTTATGCAAAAYTGAATCTATGAATAGATTCTCATCATGAGGAGAAACCAAATAACTAAATGCCAGATGTCTTGTACACATGTGCTTTAAAAATTACACCTTCAGAGACCCCACACTAGCAACAGGCTGTAAGCATACAAAAAAGTTATTCTGTACAAAGCTGGAGAAACTGCCTCAATGCAGTGAAGTCAGAAGAGTGAGTAAATGGGGAAAACTACGGTTTGGACCTKGATTTTATGGACATTTAAATGTGTTCTTGCCTTGAACTTAACAGGACTTCTCAGAAAAGTAAAACCCAGGCTTATGAGTTTCCCAGGTTTTACACTTCTAGTTCTTTTTAGAAAAACTTTCTATAAAGATTTACAATTACAGGAATAGGTCAATTCAGCAGTTGCAGAAATTKTGGTACTGGGAAAGAAACATCTCACAGCAAAAGCTACTTTTTCCCCTGCAGGTAAATGGAGCCAGAGCAACCAATCACTCCACCATAGGGGCTGAAAGCAAATATTAAATAACATTTTCAATAAGGTTGTGGGAGATTTGGGTGTGGAAAACAAAAGATGGAAATAGACACTGAATGGCTTAAACCTGTCTYGAAAATCATGTGCTGAAAACAAGGCTGGCCTTTTTCTCAGCCTCCCTGCATGYTGGAGCTCCAAAACCACTACAGACATTGTGGGCCATTGAAACAGATGGAAACAACTTCCAAAATCGAATTCCTTCTTCTGACAGGCTGGCACTGCTGGAGGAGGAGGGCAGAAGGGCAGCTGGCAGAGCAATGTCACATGTGGTACCAATGCCTGGGGCTATCCTGTATCCAGACAGCAGGACCTCTGACAGATTCAAGGAATGAAAAATCATCGTGGTGGTGCCTTTCAATATCTACCAGAGAGCYAGGTTCACTCCAAAACTGCAGTTTTCTTATGTATTTCTCTGATCTTCACTGTTTTGAAGTCAATAGGTATGGAAAGGTTGTGAACATGATTCTGGGGTTAAGATTAAATAAAATCCCAAACACCAAGAACAACTCCTCCTCCTCCTCCTCCTCTCTTATGAAACACTGCAGAGTGAATATAAGATGAAATGTTTTCCATTCATTTTCTATTTTTAAATCCACTTGTTAATGTTTCTTGGCTTTTTAAAACATCATTTGMCTACAGCTCTATTACACTGGTCTCAGCAGTATGAATTTCTTCAGGAATTTTCCCCAAAGGAAACTCCCCTCACTTTTAGCCTAGTTTGAAGCTTTTCCCTATTAAMTTCCAGAAAAGCTTGTTTTCTGATGTTTCCTTGTGCTTATTTTTCCTGCCACAATTAATATMTCCTGTATGTRTTAATTTGAAAATATTCACATAAACCAGMTAGGAAATATAAAAATGGAAAATTTTCTGTAGATAATGTTTCCCAATCATCTCCAAAAACCCTGTCCCACACTGAAAATCCTTCTCACCGGTTTTATTAGTTGTCCTCGTGTAAAACCTCCAGCAGATTTCATCCTGTTCCAAGAGAGCACTTTGTACTACAAAACTGTCAGCCTTTGAAGACCTGCCTGGTGGATCTTCATAAACAGCTTAGCTTGTCAGTGCTCAGCACAAGCACTAATCTCTCTCTCTTTTATTGAAATGCAGCTTAACACTGCACTGCTTTGTACTGCAAAGCTAAAGGTGAAGACATAAACTAATTATTAGGAGTCAAAGTCTGACATGGCAATTACTCCTCATAGTTATCATATATTCAAGGATTTGCTCCTCCACCAACCACTTCACACCTGCACAAGCAATTTGRGTCTCTTCCTCCCACCATTCTTGCCTTTCYCCTCYTTCCCCTCCAGAAGTTTRTAACTGCTGAATTACAGATAASTGGGTTTTCATCATTTTCTATGCATCACCATTTTCCACAGCCACAGTTCCACCAGGAACATTTCCCTACTGTGTCATCACAGCAGATGGACATGGGCTCAGGGTGCTGTACCTTCATTRAAGTTGTCATCAGTAGAGATGTGTGTCAAGGGAGACTGGGGTCGAGAATCCCCACAGAGGGAATAGCTGTGTTCTGCCTGGATGAGGGGCGCTGGGGATGCCGGAGACAGCTCCACTTCCATGATTTCATTCTTCTCAGACAAGAAAGGATCATTCAAGAGCTGGCCTAGGACATCAGGTGAAAATTCATCCAGGAACTCTGTGAAGTGCTGTGGAGAGAAAAAGGTGGGGAAAAGTTTATYTCCTTGCCTGTCTGCCATGCCAATCATGGGAGAGAATAGATGGGAACAATTCTATGTGCGCACTGGTCATCCGTGCCAGTCAGCAGCAGGATCTGCCAGCCCTGTCTAACAACCTTCTCCTCCAATCACTACCTCAAGCTGAAGAGCTACAGATGGAACAAAAGTCGTCTCAGAGCCATACATTACAACAGAAGAGTCTGTCATTAGCTTGCAACAAAAAAGGAAAATGGAAGCACGGTACTCGTGTCCTGAAGCAGCCTGCTCCTGCCTTACCAAAGGTACTCACTACAGTGTGCCACCAAAATTGGGAAAGCACATTTCCCCAGACACAGTGAAACATCCTGCAGGATCTGTCACCTGAACATTCTGTGTGTGGAACAGAATACAGAGGGTTAATGCTCACTGAAGCACAGAACAAAAATGAAACACATTCCAACACAGACTCTGACACCACATATGACTATTTTAGCTGTGCAGAACATTCCGTGTGCTCCAGGAAAACGGGTCCATGCACATCCGCAGCCAAGCAATTAACACTTTTGCTATAAAATGGGTTCCCTGACTAATTTACGTATCTATTTTAGAAGTAGCATTCCACCTAGAGCCCATATCCAGCTTCTGGGCCCCAGATCTAAGCTCCTGACAGCCAGGACTAATTACCACTTTGTCTATTGCACTGAATTCATTACATCAGCAGCACATGTTATATCTGCATGTTGCAAAGTAACTTCATGTTTGTTCATTATTCAAAATGAGCACAAACCAAACCTTGCAATCTATTTCCTCCAGACTCCAATGCAATTCCCATCAGCAGCCAAAAACTTTGCCTCTTCACCTTGTTTCCAATGTCACAAAACTAGATCTTTGACCGATGAAAAATCTGCACTGCAACAAATCATTCCTGCTCATCTCATTCACACAAAGAATTCTATTTTTGTATAAAAATACTTGCACAGTGAATTGTAATGAGATTTTCTGAACAATGAAGCATTATCTACCATCTTATATAGGAATCTTTGTCGGCTGAGGCATGATGCTATAAAAGTCTAACTTTGTTTGATTTGTTTAGTTTTTRCAGGCAGTATTGATCTTGGCTCTTTGTGCTGCTCTCTCCTGCAGAAACAAACACTGAAATTCAAGATTCAGCTTCCTGTAGGCTAAATTAAGAATTAAACAAGTCAATATTGTAYAAACCCACAAGGGAAGCGGTGTGCTCACACCCTCAAGCACTCATATTTCACAGCTCCAGCAGCACCTGTGGCCTTGAAGCCTGATGCTGAAAAACCCTCTCACAGAGTTCCCTGGATGTTCAAGCACCTCTTCCAAATGTGCCTTTTTTCAAAATCAGTAAATCTTGAGTCAGTTTTGACTAACACTGAGGAAAAGAAAATATTGACTGAATACAAAGCAATAAACAGAGGACCACAGTTGCTATGCTGGAATAACAAGCTAGCCCAAGAAAAACCTTTACAAATGGCAAAACAGATTTGTAGCCTCATATTTACTTACTGTAAATAATAGCATTAATAAACAAACTCTTGGAGGACTCTGCAAGAGGGTCATGACCACCTTAGAAAGCCTTGTTTATTTTAATTTTCATACTCAAGGACTCACTAGCAACTTCACAAGCAGGAGCTTTCCAACAARGATAAAGGACAAAACACCACACAAAGAAGAAAGAAAAAGGATGCACAAGAGTAGTTGAACATCCTGGGGCATCAATAAAGACACTGAGTAAAACAGAGTAAGCAACCATTAATGTACAAACAAGGGACAGAAATACTTCCTAACCACGGAAGAAGTCAAGGATGAACCTACAAAAAAAGTAGTGCCTTTCTTAGGGATGTTTTTCCCTCCAGTCTACGCATTTCTTTTCATTTGGAGTAAAGGCAAAACTCAATTATATTTGTTTACATATTTGCCTAAAGCTGGAGCATTTCCTTCCAATTCTTGCATGCATTACTCTGACTGATGAGTAGCAGATGCTGAAATATGGCTGCTACGATATTTGTACCCTGGTTTCTATGTGCAGCTACTTTTCCATCATCCAATTTCAGGATGTCATCCTTGAAAATATCACACCTATGTGTTGACTCAGTTGGACACTATTCAGATCTTATAACTTAACAAACTCAACTGAAAGACAGCATGGCCAGAGACTACTCAGCTATTTTTGGCAAATTCACAAATAAAGATTTTTATTAGACTTCTGTCTATCACTGTTTTGATATGGAATAAAAGCTTATCAAATGTGATTTGGCTTCTTCCATTTGACTGAAGTTAGGCCCATCAGATTTTATTTATTTTTTCCTTTCTGAGTGGGGAATTTTCCCAAAACCACTTCCGGAAAAGCAAAGGAGGAAACAAACATTCAACTTCAGAAAACCAGAGAGAAAGAGGACCTCGGGGTGGAGAAGGATGTTCAACACGTTGGTCAATATCTGCACTTTCTCTTTTTCACGTGCAGCTGCAAAGCAGCAAGCTGCGAGCAAGAAAAGAATTATAACATTATAACAAGAAAMGAATTGTAACATATATCTGTGTAACAGAATTGTCTGATAGTAAATGAATGTCTGGTTTCTAAAATAATTTTCTGGTTTCATTGTAATTCTCAGGTTTATTTTTAATAGTGTGTGATATAATGTTGAACATTGGTCAGTAGAGAAGCCACAGGTCAGACTGTGCAGCCACTGACCCCAGCAAACAGACAATTTGAGGGATCTGGACTTCTCACTCTGTRATTATAAAACTCACAGACTCCTTGATTTACCGGAACTTTTCATATGTTCACTTCTCTACTACAGTGACTGATTAAAGCTAGATAACTTTTTCTTCCCTAAATAAAACAATTGTCTCATCGAAAGTGGCTCCATTTACTGAGAGAACTAAGAAAAGCCATCTGAGCAGCAGCTAAAGCAGAAACCATCCGGGGGCAGTCAGACCTCCAGCTCCTCACAACTTCCACCTACACCTAAGCTGCTCCTTCTGTCTTTTCAAAGCACATTCTCCCCTTGCCAACCATCCTCCTCCTCTTCTTCCCCTCTCTGCTTCCACACACACCTCAGCAGTCATCGGCCACTTCCATAGCTGGAAAACTCTAGAATAACCCTCAATTTTGACACAGTGGCCAGAATAACCCTCAATTTTGACACAGTGGCAACCACCCCTGCAGTCAGGAAAAGGCAATTTGGGGAGAGAAATTAAGAGTTTTACCTTTAGTACCTGTATATACACTTGCTTGCAAAAGAAAGAAGTTCTTTGTCCGTGGCTTTCATCTGGGCACCTTTCACCCAGGGTGCTCACCTTTACAAAAATTTAAAAAACAGAGGAAAGAGAACTTGCACAGAGGATYTGCCTTTTTTCTTTCTTTTCCCTTTTTGTTGTTAATACCTCGGCAGACAGCTCAGCTGCCAGTTTCCTGCTATCCTCACACCCCACTGGCAGCCCCAGCACTAATTGCAGACATGTGTTGGTACAAGGAGTCTGTTTGAATTATTAAACTATTCTCACCACACAGCAAAGAGATGTGTTCAGCTGGGATTTTAACCTCTGGAAAAAGTCAGGGATTTAGGACAGATGTAACCTTATCTTCCGCCTCCCCTTCCCCCAGAACCCTGAAAAGACAAACAAAACATCAGCACTCCTGTTTACACACAGAAAGCAAACTGCAGCCCGGTGCAGTTTCACCACTCCTCTGGCTGGACGTTGGCTCACACCRATATCCTGGGTGTTTTTGGGGAACACAAACACCTCCAGACATCATTGCAGTAAGCAAACAGAGGAAAGCCCTCACATCCGGGTGCAYGGTGGATTTTTGGACAGCTCTAGCAAAGTAGCGTTTGGCTGCAGCCCAGCTGTGCCGCAGGCTGCAGCTCTCCACAGCATCTGCCTGTTCCTGCCACACAAAGGCCCTTTTTTTCCAGCTGCCTCAGGGACCAGGGGTTTTTCTCCTTCTTGTCTGATTAAATGAGGATCTGTGAAGTCAAACACTCAGGTTTTGGCTAGGTGCATGGCAGTACTTGCTTCTCCACCAGCTGAAGCCAGATGAGAGCAGCACTACCCCAGTGAGCTGTTTGAAGATAAGACATTATTGTGCCTAAAAACAGAAGTCATCTTCCAAAAACTGACCTTCTAAGAACTCATTAAAAAGGAAGGAAGAGAGGTCAAGAGCCCCAAATGATGTTTCACAATTATATTTAAATTTTTAAACAAGCAGCAGGCTTTGCTGAGCCTRGAAAATGGACTGCAGCAGTTCTAAACCCTACACAGCAGCAGCAGCAGTAGCACAATGCCACCCTTCCCTTCCCAGGAGAGCCACCCCAGAGGAGAGCTGCAATGACAGCACCTTGGCACACTGCAAAACCAGCCCTGCCCTCCCAGCAGAGCAGGGCAAGGCAGCCATGCAACGTGCCAGAGTTATAACCACCCACAAATTCAAGATATCACCCTCTGGGAGTTGGTGGCTTTCTCCTGGTTCACCCTGAAGTCTCCATCAGTCACCCCTCCATAGGGRGAACTGGCAGGTACACAACAGGCTGTTTTTTTATCACGGGATAAAAAAAAAAATCCTACCATCCACCCACAGGTACAAAACAACCTGGGTTTATGTCTTTACTGTAAAATCCTTTAATGTCTACTCAGTAACTACACTGAAATTCCTTCATTTGTGGGAGAACAAGAAGAGTAACGCAAAATTAGTGTTTGAAACCAGCAAAGAGATCCACCTTAAGAGCAGACACAATTGTTTGGAATCTCACACCAGTATTTACTCCTTTTAAGCACTAAAAAAAAAAAAAAAAAAAGTGGACAGATTTTATAAAAAAATCTGTGGAGTGAATAACATACAGGTTGTGTCACCAGCAAAACAAATGCCAGGAAATTCAGAGCTAATAGATTTACATGGTAATTAAATCTGCACATCTTCCCAACTTGCTCAGGTTACACAGTTGGAAATGTTGAAGTTCATG